GCCGGGTGGCAAGCGTCCCGGAAGGCAGCGGCAGATAAGTTTCTTAGGCAAGAAGGCCTTGGACCTGGCCTCCAATTCCCATGTATATCCACCGATCTAATGCCACATCTGCATGCCCCCGACCCGGATACTTTCCTCCGTCGTGTGCAGCAGAAAGCCCAAGAGGGCAGAAGAGGGACCGCGAGGCGGGCGGTGCACGCCAGAAGCAAAGGCAACTAGCTCGGCCTTGTACCGGTGAGCAGGTGGCCGTCGGAGGGGCACAGTGGACCACGGAGCCCGCAGGGGCATGATGCAAGAAGTTCTGCCCGTCCGACTAACTGAGATCAACGTGGATGCAAGGAAAAACCTTAGAATATGAATGCAGGTCTAAGGCAACGGCACGGTAACCACAAGAAGCGGCTGTCGCCAAGAGCCAAGCGCAGAGCCAGCGAAGACCTTGAGAAACATTGGGCTGGAAGACGCAGGGCTAACCATAAGGAAATTGGAAAACCTTACAGCAGAAAGCCAATATTCTGAAGCTTGCCACGCAGAGAAGGCAAGACAGATTCCGGCTTGGCCACGGTGTAGGCCACAAGCACGCTACGGCAACCATTCCAAGGTAAAGTGCAATCTTAAAGGCGGAGGTTCAAACATAAACCGGTCCGGCTGCGACGTCCAGCAAGAATCCAGTAAGCAATGAATCAGGCAAACGGGAAGGTCTGGTAAGACGTTGTAGGGTGGGAGTCCGCAGCTAGAAGGCTTGTTGCTAGTTAGGTGGCCCCCTTGCTCTTAAGGTGGAGGCCCCAGGAAGGCTTACGTTGTAGGGCGTCAAAAATCCAACTGTGTCCACTAAGTTACAGTTTCTGCAAGTCTAGGGCGTTAAGAACCCAACTGTGTCTACTGAGTCACAGTTTCTGCAAGCCTGAACCGTGCCTTCCAATACTGTCAGTGTTGGGTGTTCTTCTAACATACGTCAGTTGGCGTTTTGCTAGATAAATACCCTTTGGAGCCTGCTGTGCATGTCTAAACCGTGCGACTGCATCTGCGGTGTGTGTGAGCTCCTTGTCTTTAAGAGTTGCCCTCCGATTGAGGCTTTCGGCACACTAAATCGGAAGAGTTTCGCTTCTTCGAGTGTTTTGTGTTGATCGAGTAACATCCGGAGTAAGTCCTTTGTCTAGGTACGTGATTGGGCACTCTCTGTGACCTTGGGTGCTCACTGATTTTGCTCGGGCCGCCATACGGGTCGCCCCAGGTATTTGTGCGGGAGGTATGCAGTGTAGCACACACTTGTTTGTGCGAAGTGACAACTCATTATCTCACTTGATCACCGAATCGGTCAGGGGATAGACTCACCGATTCAATTCGAATGATTGTATACTCCGTGGCCATTTTGGCGAAAAGCTGTTCCAGCTTGAGAAATTTTGTTTCAGTTCCCTCGGATCACTCCTCGGTCATAGCCGCTCCGGGCGGCCAGTACTTCGAGTTCTATTACGACCGCTGCTGGCGGCCAGTACTTCGAGCACTACGGCTTCTCTGTCAGTCGTTGACAGCTTGAAGGAATCGCTCGAGGAATTCAGCCGCGAGCAAGTTCTCGAAGACTTCCAGATCGAGAAACCCGAGGATGTGACGTGGGCTGCCTGGAACAAACGACAGTCCAGACAAATAAAGAAATTTCTTGGCATTCGGGGGTCCCAAAGTGATTCGGGGGCCCTGCCTTTAAGAGGCACCATGTACATATTGACATTCAATGTACAGGCTACTGCCCTTGTGCCAACTATGTGCGGACACCCGTCCTTGCGTATCAAAACAAAAAAACCCTAAGACCCTAAGAACACGAACCCTAAGACCCTAAGAACCCCTTGAGTCATCCAAGACTTCAAGCTGACAATCGACGTTCCACGGATTGCTTTCTGCTTGTGATTTTATGTAGGTGGACCATCTGAGATCTCAGTCCCAGATCTCTTGTTTCTCGACTTGCATCGGAATCTTTCATATCTTCTCGTCTGACTGATCAGTTGCTGCTGCTGCAGTGCTGAGAATCAGTTATGTAGGTGGGCCATCTGAGATCTGGAATCACTTGTCTCTCGACTTGCAGCGGAATCTTTCATATCTTCTTTGATCAGTTGCTGCAGTGCTGAGAACCCCCACATTATCACAGCGTCTGGGGCAAAGTCTGGGAGGGGTGAAGTATAGAAAGAAGAGCTAGGAAGAAAGAAGTGGAACAGAGTGCTCGCTGTCTCTTGCTTTCACTGCACGACTGTTTTGCGCACATGTGGCTCGTTGTAGCTGCGCGGTGTGTCCTGTGTGTGGACGACATGCCGCTGCCTTCGGTTGCTGCTTTGCACGCTCCTCATTTTTTAGACGGTTGCTGGTCAAGTTTTGTGGTGCCTTTGCCATGATTGCTTCCACAGTCGAGGTCTGATGACGAAGGCATGGCATCCCCCGGCCAGCAGACCTTGAAGGTGGTAGGGTAGTGGCATTATAGTGGACCCTGCCCCAGCTCACATGCACAGGCAGCTGGAAGCATGGCGGCCATGAAGGACAAAGAGGCCAGGGGTTTGGGATCTTGGAGGTATGCAGTTTTGAAATTGTCCGTGAGGCTTCAGATCCTGGCATCTGTGTGAAGGAGGCTTTGGCTCACCCGCCCGTGAAGTTTTATTTTGTGTGGTCGCCTCTTATTTCTGGTGAGGCCTCAGCTCCTGGCATCGGTGCGAAGGTGAAGGCCTTGGTTCCCATCCTGCCTTGAATAGTGGTAGCTTGTCGTCATTGTGCCTAGGTCCCCAGCGTGACTGTCAACAAGAAGGTTCTGGCATGCATTTGGCCGTAAAGCTTTGGCCTTGACCGTGTGTCCAGGCTGGACCACGAAGTGGCACGTTGAAGGCAAGTATTTTCAGCAGTCAGTCGTCGTGTAGAGTCACACACCGCACACACACACACACACACACCTTGACAATCTATTGCAGGCCATGAAGGTCAAGGTCAGGAAGCTCGTCCGGACCTGTCACGTGAAGCAGGTGTGACCATGGCGAGTGCTGCCTCTGAAGTTTTGTAGTACAGCTATTTGCCGTGAGGACCGGATGCAGCCAGCCAGGAAAGCCGTGGGCCTCGCAGAGCTGCGGAAGGCGTGCTGGGCATTTCAGAAACATTCGAGATTTGGGGCATCACTGGCAGGTGACCCTGCCACACTTTGGGTGGATGGAGAACAACCAGGTCAGAGCTGTGAAGGCTCCCGCTGTCCTGCCTGTTCTGGGATTTAACTTGCTGTTGTTTGAGCTCAAAGGTGCGATTGCAGTCAGCAGGCTGCCTGTCTTTGAAGGTTGTGGGCGCCCAAGACTGCTGCAGGTTCTGAAGTTGATCATTAGTGAAATAATAATAAATTGACATCTATCGTGCACCCTCAGGTGCATCGCCAAAAGCCTGGCAAGAAGAAGAACGGTGCCCAGCTCTTTAGCGGCTCCCGTGTTTTCAAGCGGTGGAGCTCCATCAGTGTCCAGCTCAGTGTGATTGTCATTGACCCAGCATGCATTCAGTTGTTTAGGCCCTCAAGACCCTGATATCTCCGGCACAGGATGCTTCAGGGCCACTACGAGAGTGTGTTTGCGTGGCTTGTCAACCCGGGGTGTGACGGCCAAAGACCCAGAGCAGATTGAAAGCAACAGTGAACACAATTATTATGCGAAATCAAAGCGCCCTGCCCCGAGGACTTGGCCAACCAGATTGCACACTCTGTGCAGTATCGCGAGGAGGGCGGTGTGCCCAAGAGGTTTCTGGCCATTCGAACGGCCGAATGGTTCTCAGGCAGGGACCTTAAAGACAGAGTTGCGGTTCAGTCTGACTCAGTGCAATGTACTTGAAGGACTGCCCGTGGGCTGGACGTCCACCACTGTCGGTGACGTCCTCGCCAGGAACATCAAGGCAATCGTGCCTCAACCTCCGGACGAGGTGGCCAACCATGAAAGTTTGTACGTCAGTGAGTCTACAGCATGATGTCAGGTCAGAGCTGCTCCTATGGATGCGATCTCCCTGTTCACGGGCGTGGCCGGGCTCGAGCTGGGTGTGCACCAGCCTGGGCCCTGTCATCCCATGTCCTTCGAAAGTTGGTGCTCGTGCTTGAAAGTTGTTTGCACTGACTGCTTGATGGATGTCAGCTGGAACTTGTCAGTGGCTCAATGTCAACTGAGTGTGTGGGCCATTAAATTTAAACAGACTCAGAGCGCATGCTGCAGATTAGTTTTAAGTTGGTTGCTGGCCGTAGTGTTTGAAGCTTGTCATTCATGATGGAGACTCAGTGGGTCAGCGTCAGCACCGTTGGCATCAATCAAGTGAAGCCCGGGACTAAGCATGCATAAGCCCTTAGTTCGAGGGCTGAGACCATTTTCCCATCTGTCGTTTGTATTTTTTGCTGAGGGTCCTGGCCGGAAGTTACGTGTGGTGTCGATGGAAGGGGGCTGTGCATCTTGTCTGATATCGCTGATACCAACACGTTACGTGTCATTGTGGCATTCATGCAGTACAGTAGACAGGTGGGTCTGGGATGGCAAGAACAAGACATGGATGCCGTCTTCAGAGACAGCTGTAAAAGACTCCCAGGCCGTGTGGCTCAGACTTGTCATTGTGCTAGGTTGACAGATGGACTAAACCAGATATGCCGCGACAGGCCGGCTTGAAGAAGCGCACTGAGACGTGCCCTGCATCGCCTGCATCTGGATCTGATAATATGCCAGCTAGGAAGTCTCACAGACAATGCTGAGCCAATGTTCTGGAGCGAGACATGTGCAGTGTGTTGAGTTCTGCAGTCCAAAAAAATATTCTTGAAGTTGGTGCTACTGCTAACTGTGTGCCAGCAAGATCGCCGTAGCCGTTGATTTGTCTTCTAAATGCCTGGTACTTTAAGGTGGTTTCGCCCAGTGGAGATGGTGGGACCCTTGGTGAACATCGTTCAACTTGTGTGCAGGAAGCTGTGCCACTGTCGCTCCCAGGTGGAGGCAGACAAATCCTGCCAAGCTGTCCTGACAGCTCGCATGAAGGAAGGCTGCTTGCCGGTGTGCAAGCTCATCCCCGACATCGTGGGCTACACTCCCAGTGGTCGAGCTGCCTCCGCAGAAGCGCTGTTATGTGGCTTCCCTTGTCAAGTCAGTTTCTCAGCACGGTAGACCCGGTAGTGTCGCATTTGTTTGTCTCGTTTTGTCAGGGGGTGTCACAAGCTGGCGACCAGAGAGGGCTGAATGATGACCGGAGCGGGCTCATCAAGGAGGCCTTCAGAGTCTATGACACTCTGGGGAATGGGATTCTGGGGCTTTAACGATACAAGTTTGGTCTGTTTCTCTCAGCGGTTACAAATTAAATGGCTTCTCGTGTTTATGTCCGCCTCAGGAAAGTCATGCTCATCGAGAACGTTGGGGCATTGCTGCACAAGACCCCAGCCTGCCGAAAGCTTGTCAGCTACATTCTTCAGGCCGTGGGGTCGTCCTCATTGCAATGCACCACTGCATGCCACACTAATTTTGATGTGGTTTTTCAGGCTTGCAAGAAAAGGGGCCTCACAGTGCTGTGGTGCTGTGTGACCCTAGCCAACGTGGGCTTGAGTGTGGCCACCTCAGGATTCAAGTTGGGGTTGTGTTTCCGTCAGTGCTGCCAAATCAAAACCAAACCTTGCATAATATTAGGCCACTCGCCGGCGGGTGTTTATGCTGGCGATCAAGATGGACGTGGCCCGCGACTGTATCAAGGCGCCGAACGTATCAGTGACAACAAGCTTTATGCTGAAGAGCCGCGTTGTAATATGCTCTTCTTATAGTTATTGTTACTGCTGTGCTTTCTGATGCTCGTCGTTCTTGCTGCAGTGTCGTGCTGCAGGCTGGACCAGCATTGGACGTTTTCTTCGAGAAGCCCTGGAACCACGCGAATGCGATGCCCATGGCACAGTGGCTCACGAACGAGCCCCAGGACGATGCAAGGTTGAATATGCTAGGAAATGTGGTCGTGCCAGCACAGGCCTTTGCAGCCATGTGCATCTTTCACCACATGTTGCAGATGTATGGAAGGTGATGTGACAACAAGTGCTGTTGTAATTAATCCCTGGACCTCAAAGCTGCTGTGCTGTGTGCAAAAGGCCAGGCCCTTGCCAAGGATTTCTTAGTCTTCCTGTAGGTTGACCATATTGAATTGCCAGTTGCAAATTTAGATATTATGTCCATTGTTGCTCAGAAGCTGCTCGTGGCTCTTGCCAACAACATTGTGCTGCGTGATGGAGATGTGTTCATTGTTGGCAACCAAGTCTTAGAAGGTTCGACCCACAAGCAGTTGAACCAAACTCATCATACCAAGTCATACTCCATTGCAGAAGTAATTGTCAATTGTTCAATGATGCAATTTTTTTCCAACCGATGCCTCCCTTGCCAAATGTCGAAGCTCTCAGTGATGAGTCCAATGATGGGGCCGTGTCCTCAACATATTCCTCGGGCTGTTCTGTGTACTTGCATGCAAGTGAGCCTGGCTCAGTCCTGAGGTGGAGAAAAAGCGGAAGCGAAAACCAAAGCCCACATTGAAAGACAAGCAACATGCTCGTGGTAGACTCTATGATGATGCTGTTCTTTCGAAGCTGTGTTCCCGGAAGTGTGGTGGCAATTGCCGGCGCCGCTGCCTTTTCAAATTTGCAACGTCCGAGAACAAGAAGCAGCTGAAACGCATTCGAAGAGAATGGGCAGAGCTTCACAAGCTCGATCAGGATGCCATCGTACCCTGCCCTGCTGGCTGATTTCCTTTTCGTGATGCTTGCTTTGTGTTTTCTGTTGCTTTGTCCTAAATATGCCCGAGGCTTTCCAATCTCTGAAGATGTATCATGAAAGCGATGATGGTGGGAAGGCACGTTCACTCAAGTTCGCTTCTGTCCCTGTGTGTTCCAGAGCATGGATGAGGCTGTATGGCATGGGCCCCTCGGAGCAGTGCCCTAGATCCCTAGATAGAAGTCGTAAGTCACGTGCAGCATGAAACAATAACAGAGAAGTGTCCCACATTACATAGTAATAAACCTTCAAAACTCAAGTCAATGACCAGCTTTCCGATGCAAGGCAAAAGTCGCTTCCATCGATTGTCCAGAGCAGCAAAGGAAGGCAAGCATGCGCCTCCTGCAGATCTCAGATTTCTCTGTAGACCTTTCAGAGAGAAGGATGACCGCGGCGTCAGGTCAGAGATTGTTTCCTTTCTGGAAAGCATGTACCAGAGTGTTGCCGAGACACTGCCAGACGTGAGGGATGATCCCATGGAGGAATGTGATGACCAAGTGAAGGTGATGGTTTCTGCCAACAATGAGACGGAGGACAATTACGCCGCAGCTCTGAACGACGTCAAACCTTTCAAGGCCAGAACCACAAAGCCCAGGAAATTCAAGAACTCGATACAGATTGTCCGTGCCGAGACGGACATTCGGTATTTACCGCCAGGCAACATGAAGGATTACTGGTTGCAACTTAATGCGTCTCGAGCAGATACTGCCAAGCCAATTTCTTTTGCGCAATTTTGGCGAGCTTCTGGGCTTCAAACCATCATGTCAGAGTGTCACAAGTTATTAGTATGAGTGCTGAGCCATGATCATGAAGAGTTACCACAATTCAATGCCAGTGCATGTGTTTGCATTTTGAGCAGTGACAGACAGAAAGGGCCCTGCTTCCCAAATTAAGGTTTGGTCTGGCGAGTTCAGCCACCTCAAGTTCCGGCAGCAGAGCAATCATGCACAATGTTCAGAGTGTATCAAACACAAACTGCTGGTGAGAGAACTGTCCCACCATCAGTTGGCTAGAAAGGAGCAGGTTCGGCGTTACACCGAACACTTGCGATCACAGTATTATGATCGAGTTCATTACTGGAATTTGCGGGGAGCCAGCAGACTCAGAAACGGCGGGCACGTCAGCTGCATAATCGATTCCATGGATCAATCAAAAAGCAGCCTGCCGCGATCAGACCTGTGTCGCGCAAAGGACCTGAGCACATTGATCAGACCAAAGTGCCACATCACAACGGTGATCTGCCATGGGCACTTTGTGCTCATGGTGCTGTCCAACCACGACATGCCCAAGAATTCGAGCGTCATGGTAGAGATCATGGCTCATTGTCTGTCACGGCTGAGTTCAACCTGCCGCCTAGCAGACGTCTCTCTGCACGTCCAATCGGACAATACAGTGAGAGAGATGAAAAATAATCCGTTTATCAAGTGGATGGCAGCCATGACTGGGCAAGGCTAGGGCTAGGGCAAGGGTCAATGTGTTTGCGAGTTGTTGCCGCAGATCTCTCTAGCAAACATGACCATGGTTCTTCAGTCAAGTTGAAAGCTGATTCATGAGAGGAGTGGTGCGGGAGGCATCATTGCAAAACTTGAGAAGCGGCCACTCTCACGAAGATGTTGATCAGCTGTTCGGCAGCTGTGCGACCTATTTGGCGAGCAAAGGACGGCATGCAGAGACGCCAGAAGACCTCCTCAAGTTGCTGGAGGCGTTCCTTCGCAACCTGCCGCGACCGCACGAAGCCGGAAGGTTTGTGGTGAAACTCGGCGGTGCTCGCGACTGGCAGCTCAGATTCTATTGTTGAGATTTGTTCTTGGGCACTGTTCGAGTGGCTTTTGGCTGCTATGCTCTCAAATGATCTGAGGAAGGGCTTTCTTTCTGAGGGAGTGCCAGTGATGATTCAAGGGCTGCAAGGCCCAGGTGCCCCACACGTCTGGCAGCTGACCAGGAGAGAGCATCTCAGTTTAGCTCCCAGTTTCTGAGATCTGATGCACGTGACTCGTCATGTTACACATTTGAACACTGACTTTGTGGTCTGAGGCCCGGCTGACTTGAGCCTGGTGGACGAACGGTACTGGCGACATGTGGAACAACTCCCACAAGATGTCATTCTGCGGTGTGCTGCCATGAGATTTAGGACTTGTTATTGTATGCACTGAATCTGTCAAATTGCTTGATTGTTTGTCTTGAACTTCTCAGCTGCCATTAGTAGTCATCATCTCAGGTGCAAGCAGTACATGGCAGACAAAGATTACACAAGGGCTTTGAATTACTTGCCACGGCGTGTCGCTTTGGTGCGGCTGCCTCGCGGCCTACCTGCTGGTTTCTCTTCTGAGAACCAAGTTCTAATCTAAGCCGTTGTGATGTGTGTCCATGATGTGCTACTAACTACTAGACTAGTAGTATACTAACTATTTGTGCTCATTGATTGCACTGGCTGCGAGGTCTTGTGGAGCGGAACCCCATTCCTGACGACTATAAAGATCACCTACGGAAGTTTCTTGGAACTCTCAGAGGATATGGCTTGACTCGCGCAGCCGACTTCTTGGAAGCATTCGTAGAGGAAAGGTTGGATTTCAAGCCGCTCTTGGATGTAAGTGCGATGCTTGTCTGACACGGAGCAGTCAATCTTATCTGGCAAACCACATTGGCGATCGTAGTTGTGGGTCAAACTTGACTTCTATCACATGCCAGCCAAGGTGCATGTTGGTCAGTGGACCCCGTGGTGTCAATCGGGATGGGCCTGCCAACCGGTCTTTTGAACCTTCTGCAAATGTTATCCGGTGCCTGTGACACAACATAAGACTTGGCTAGACGTTCCGTGCAACTCTGCTGCTGTGACAAGTAACTGCACTTAATTAATAAGTTGTGATGCTTGTTCAAACGAGGCTGGCTCGTGGTCCTGGAGAAGCCCAGGCTGGCCGGCAGTACGTGGAGCGTGCGAGGAGACGAATGATCTTGGAGTCGGCAGCATCTGCCTGGGCCAGGGGTGTTCCGTGGGCTGAGGCCCTGAAAGTTTCTGATTTGGCCATTACCCGGGCCAGGGCAATTGTGAAGCCGTTGCCAAAAGTCAAAGCACGGCCAAAGGCCAAAGCGAAGTCAGCTGCTGCTAGGTGATGTTCTTGTTTCCTACAGAGAACTATCTTGTGATTATAACGAACTATTGAATAATATCTAAGGCACACATGTCAGCCAGTTGCTCGTGTGTGTGTGTGTGTGAGAGAGAGACATATCAGCATTCTGCTGACAGTCGAGTTCTGATTCTTGCACAGTGCTTGAAGCAGCGTGCATGCAAACTTCACGGTAACGTTCGAGGTGTGCAAAAAATGCCTTGAGACAGCTTCGAAGTTTTTTGTGCTCCTGCGAAACACAGCAACAGTCTCCCTGTTTTCAAGGATTTGACACTGGAAATTCACACCAAAACCCTTTAATTTTTTTTTCAGTGAAATGCAAAAAAATTGGGGTGCGGCATGGACATTAACGGGCCCGTCCCGGTGTTGGGGGTGAAAAAAAAATTTCGGCTCAGCTGGGATTCCTCGATGACTTTGTTGTGACCCAGAGCAGATCTAGTATCCAATTCAAGGTCGGAACGGACAAAAACTCGATGTTGAACTTGAAGTTGGCACTTGCCTGCAAAACATGACACAGAGCATCCAAGCCCAACCCGGGAGTTAGTGTCCAATCCCACCCCGGATTGGACACTAACTCCTGCCTGGTCCTGGGGAGTGTCCCGGCAAACGGCGCTCGGATCCGACACTAACTCCTGCCCTGTCCTGGGCCAGAGTTAGTGTCCAATCCGAGGTCGGATCCGACACTAACTCTGTGCTGAACTCGAACTTGGCACTTGCCTGCAAAGCACAACAGAGAGCATTCCAAGCCCAACCCAGGAGTTAGTGTCGGATCCGACCTCGGATTGGACACTAACTCCTGCCGTGCCCTGGGCCCGAGTTAGTGTCCAATATGGGGTGGTGGGTGTCTCGGGGTCATTTGCCGTTCCACATAAGATTCAATATTCCCAGTCCAGCTTAGGAGTTAGTGTCAGATCCATTAACTCCTGCCCAGGTGCCAAGGCCCGAGTTAGTGTCCAATTTGGGGCGGTGGGTGTCTCGGGGGAGTGGGAGGTCATTACTGCGTTAAATATCAGTATTCCAAGCCCCACTGAGTTGAAGTAGGTGACGTATCTGTCCTGGGTTTGGACTTCACCCTTGGGCCTGATTCTGAGTTTGTGTCCAATCTGGGGTGGCGGGTGTCTTTGGGTTGAGGGAGGTCTTTAACTTTGCTGCTCTATAGAATAATTCTAGAGTGCTGGATAATATTTATAGAAGAGAGTATTTATGTACTTGTTTTTTATAATCAAATAGATAGTTATATAGAATATTGATCTACACAGGGGCTGTCTAGTCGGGGTTCCCGTCCCAGTGTATCCCGGACCTGCCGAGCCCATCCGGGAGCCATCCCAGATCTGTCCAAGATCAGCCCGCATACCCATTACAGCCCCCTTGTCCTCCCCTCCCCTCGCCCCACCCTCCCATAAGAAGGCTACCAGCCACCCAAACCAGAGAACTTCTCGTTTGGTTGTGGTTTATTTACAACAATGACTGGCCAAGCAACCTGTAAACCCTGTCCTGTGTCCAGACCATGGGTTTCCCCTCCCCTCGGCCACACCCTCCCATAAGAAGGCTACAAGCCACCAAAGGAGAGAACTTCTCGTTTAAGACACGAAATGTCATGTAGTAGTTTAGTAGATTCAATAACAATGAACCACAGTCGCACTGTCGAGATCCTCTTCAGACCCCACTTCCCAGAACCCCCTCCCCAATATATCCGGCTTCCACATCATGTCATTTTAGTCCACTTTCAGACCACCCCCCCTCCACTCAAGGGTCCCCGCCTAGAGGCCAAAGCACTCCATCTTGGCATTGGCCTGTGCATCATTGACGTCTGTGCAGATTTTCCAGGCTTTTAAGGGCTGATATTTAGCTGGATTGACAACATGGCAGCAGCAGCTCAGCTGCCGAAGAAGCGGCGGTCAGGGGGTGGCGGAGCCTCAGCACCAAAGGCCAAGGCGAAGCTTGGCCCACAGGACGAAGTCGCGGAACACGTTGGCAAGCTGATCACCTGGCTTCTAGACTCAACAATGCTGCTAAGGTCTGCAGCCCAATTTTAATGACAGTGTAACAAGTCAAGTGTTAGAATCCCTTTTGTTATCGCGAGGCTTCGGGAACAAGTGATGCCAGCTGGCGGGCCAGAACGATACCTTCGAAAGCGCTACAAGTCTGAGGTCAGTGCCCATGTCTGGTTTAAGATCCAGCACAGTGACAGTCAGACGATGCATTGAAGGCCGCTTTGAAGGACTTTGCAGAGTGGCTGGACACAACGTTCCCTGCGGATTCAAGGCCACTACGAGCAGAGCTGTGCAACTCAGCAAATTGGCTCCCAAAAACATTAACACACCATGCCCTGAAGGTACCAGTATGCCATGGGCCTTGACGCGGTTGGCCCCGTGTGGCTGAGACCGTGGCAAGTCGGATTCCGCTCCGACTTCGGGCTGCCTGGACTACATGAACCCGAAGAAGTGGAACGCCTCCTAGAGCTCATTGTGTGCGAAACGTGTCTGGCCTTGTTTTCATTCACAGAGATGATCTTGCACATCATGCCAAGTATTAAATGTGGTGTATTAAGTGTACTTTATCATACAGCAGACTGTCACAGCTGAGGTTCAGAACCGACTCAGATTTGCCAGGCGTAGAAAAGGTGGCCGTCACCTCGCCTGCTACAGCCTTCCTGGATGGACCATACAAGCCGATGGGTCCGCTTGATGCATACCGTGCCCTAACTTCAATGTTGACTGGGTGGTTAGGATTGATTCAGTTTGTGGTCATGGCTCTGTGCTTCAATTGTGACCCTATCCTTGCCCTGTTGCAGCTCATCTTCTTCCTCCGTTCTCCGTCGGCTACGTCAAGGGATGGAGACGCTGCACCACAATGCTCATAGCCGTCCAGGGCTTGCGAGAGCTGCAGATCGATTTGGGCCTTCTTCCGCCGGGGTTCAAGGTGCATGCTGTGGAAATATGATGCCAATGTTTTGCTCCTGAAAACTGTGCTGCCAGGCCAGTGTGGCTACAATCCACGGCACGGTGGGCCGCTTCACGTCAGTGCACGAGCAGGTGCTCGCTTCGAGAGGCCTGGTTTCCTGCTTCTGATGTGCAACAGTCAACAGGAGGGCTTGTGAATCTTGCACAGGAATCACCATGTCGAGCGTTGCGACTCGCAAAGCTCCGAACGCCTTCAACTTCCTCCGCCAGATCACAGTGCTGGAAAGATGCAAGTCTGTGGAGGTGGCCAACTTCGTGGTTTGACTCTGACATATTGCTCTGGATTCTGTTTTTGGGGGTGAGCAACATAATAAATAAGTCTATTATAGGTTTGGGGTTACTTGATGGACCTCTTGGGTGCCTTGCAGGGTCTCTAGAATCTAGCAATGAAGTGAACAAAACCACTCGAAGCTTTGAGGCTGTACTAGGTTCCAGGACGGATTTCCGCTTTAGGACTAACCCCAGTGATTCCAAGGATTGGTCCAAGTCGGCTGCGATTGCCAAGGCATATCAGCTTGGAAAGCTGGAGGCTGCCGCTGTGTCCAACCTGAAGACAAAGGTCTCGATCAAGGTTTTGGAGCGGGTGACGGAGTGTGTTCGTGTGAGAGGCCTCCGCTACTTGATCTCTCACGAGGCTTTGGCTAAGGACATCCTGAATCAAGGTTTCACGTCCGGCCGCGACAAGCTGGACGCGTGGGCCGTTCCGCTTA